ATTTCTGAGGCTCCTGTGTAGTAAGAGTGCAGCCTTTACATACCTGTAGGGGGAGAGAGTCCTGGGAAGTGCAGTTTATTTTGTTAATCCTAGCACTTGTTTCATGAGCATTGTTGGTATTCCTTTCCTGAGCCTGTACAGGAAACAGAAGTGATTGATCTTGTTGATTTCAGAATGGATAAGCTCCTGTGGCATGACTCAGAAAAATTTTGATAATATCTTGAATATAACTTTTTCATTGTGACGATAGCATTTTAACAAGTGACTGCTCTTTTGAGAGACTTCTGTGAATATCAGGTTAATGGTTATGTAACTTTGCTGATTCCTTTTTCTTTCTAGCTCTATGTACCTTTGGACTGTTCACATTATACTGTATTCAGAGAAAAAGTAAAAGCTGTTCCTGTGTACGTTTTACCTTTAGTTGTCCTTCAAAAGTTACTTGCAGATCTTCCCAGAGGTGCCTTATCTTACAAAGCTAGAATTAATAACGAAATGTAGCTTACTGGAAGATATTTTTGCATTCCTTTCTGTAGTTTCATGGAAACTAAATAACTGATTCACCGACTCCCTCTTGTGGTAGATACTAAGCATAGCCACCATATTCATTTGTATTAGCTGTTGGTATTCCCTTACCAGTGAAAATGGAGTCGAATAATTCAAAGTAATTTTAAAAAATCATTTATTTTTATTGGAAAGGCAGATTTGCAGAGAAGAGAGAGAAAGAATGAGAGAGAGAGAAAGAGTTTGCTTGATTCTCTCTGCTGCTTCATTCATCAAGTGGTCCCAATGACCAGAGCTTACCTGATCCCAAGTCAGGAGCTTATTGCATGTCTTCCACATGGGTACAGAGATCTAAGGACTTAAGCCACCTCCGCTGACCCTTTAGGTCATAACCAGGGGCCTGGAGTGAAAATGGAACAGCTAGAACTAGAACTGACACACATATGGGATGCTGACATAGGCACCGTTTTAGTTTCTTATGCCAGGTTGCTGGCCCCAAAGCAGATTTTCAAAATTATTTTGATGGAGTTTTATAACAATTAGCAATTTGGCCAGTCCTGCTGTATCCCAGCGATGTGTTAGTATTACCTGAGCTCCTGGGCCACACCTGGAAAGTCAAATATAATTTAATTTGAAAAGTCCAAGTTTTTTTTTTTTCAAGATCTATTTTTAAATTTTTATTGGAAAGTCAGATTTACAGAGAGAAGTAGAGACAGAAAGATCTTCCATCTGCTGGTTCACTCCCCAAGTGGCTGCATTGGGTGCAGGATCCCAAGGGTTTGGGTCGTCCTCCACTGCTTTCCCAGGCCAGAAGCAGGGAGCTGAAAGGAAAGTGGAACAGATGGGATACAAACTGGCACCCGTATGGGATCCTGATGAATTCAAAGTGAGGACTTTAGCCACTAGGCTATTGTACCAGGTCCCAATATTGCTTTTACAGCCAATTTTGAAGGCATATCACAATATGTAGCAGTAGCTTGTTAATTGTCTTGGATTTTGTAGTGTATGAGGCACATAACTTGTCCATGATTTATGTAATTTTCCACAGGGATGCATTTTATACAGTAAGAATGGTCTCTGGTCTCAGATTACAAAGCGCTTGGTAGGATGAACTGGGAGTAGAAACCCAGACATCTGACCTGAAATTTATTTTCTTAACACATTATACTGTTTCACGTTGCCAGAGTCCTTAACCATAGAAGGATCTTGAATGATTTCATCTCTAGAGCTCCTCTAGTTTTTTTTTTTTTTTTTTTTTGAAGTAGTTTTTGCTTGCAGTTGTGTTCTGGAACTCAACCTTACCCAGTGTGCTAGAGACACAATGAACTTAGTTGAAACTTAAGTTGAAACTCACCTCTGGGTGATCTCCACCCCTTCAATCCCAGACTTTGAAACTGTGGAACTTAACAGGAGGCTGATGTGGATGTCAATAAGAAATACAGATATTCCATAGACACTTGATGCTGAAACCTAATAATTATTGATGGTTTATGTATAAGCTCTGGTTGTAGACTAACTGGTGGATGACAATTGGCTAGATTAGATCCAATTTTGAAAGAAGAATATCTCTAGTTTTTATTATAGTGGGATTTTATTATATTTGCTATTACTCTAATAGATTTTTCAACTTTAAAAATGATTTCTACTACACAGGATACATAGATACTTCCAAAGCAGTTTTTTTTATGAACTTTGATTTCTGTATGTTTCTGTTTTCTCTTTAGCTATTTATGGTGGTTATCAATTATTAGCATTTAAAAAAAATATGTTATAAACATCAAGCCTTTGTTTAATGAAAAAATCTTTTTTCATATTGTTGAATTTAAAATAATGCTGGAATCCATTGAATGTAAAAATCAGATGTGTACTTCATTTGGTCTGGTGACCTCAGCTTTTGGCAATAGCTCTGTTAGTTATTTGTTTTATTTATGTGCACATTTATGCTCATTTTTCATCCCTTATACTGATCCATTGTTTTTTGATTGAATTAATTATACATGCATATGATTAAAATACTTTTAGATTCCCTTCCTCAGAAGCCATTATGTGTATCTTTTCAGATTTACTCTTATTTCTTTGTTTTGTTTGATACAAATATCACATAAGTTGTAATAATCTGCCTTGAACCACATTTTACTCATATGGTTAATATGTTTTCATTTTATATCCTAAATAAATATTAGTTACATTGCTGTTTAAATTTTGCCTATTGTTAATGTTTTCCTTTTTAATATTTCAGTGTTATGACTCTTCAAATGAATAAGTAATGATAAAAGTATGCCTTTGTATTATTTTAAAACTTAACAAATCTATCTAAAAATAATAAGTGGTTTTGTTAGTAGATTAACATGTAGTGTACGTGCATATTTGTTTTATGAAACACCTTTGATATGCTACTGAAGTTATTTTTCATTATTTAGTTATCTATGTTAGGGTCGTTTAAGAAACAAAGTTCTGTGAAGAAACCTTAAGCAGTTTTCTTAAGCTCTGAACCTTGTTTCCTGAAGTTGCCCATTTACCTTTGGAAAATAAGCAAAAAAGGAGGAAGAAGAAGAGAACTGTGTCATCTATAAGTAAGGACAGAGAAGCAAGTACCTCTTGACTTAGAACTTTGAAAGTGCAGGCTGCTTTTAAGGAAGTTTGAAATGTGGAATAATAATGTGGTACCATTATTATTTGATCTATGCCATTATTGACCTTCACTGATCTCTGTGCAATCCTAGTTTTCATTTTTTGTAAAAATGATTAATTAGTATAACTGGATTATTAATGGATAATGGGAATATAAAATTTTGTCTGATGGGTTTGTATTCAGGGGATAGCCTTCAAAGGCTAGAAGGGAGATAGAATTCGTTTCATAGAATGGTCTCTTTGTTATTGTGTGCTTAATGCTAAATTAGTGTAATTCAGTTGGAATTTGTTTTAACAAACGATTTGGTTATTCCAAGAGTTTTGTGTTTACTGCTGTGGAAATCCAAGCTCTTAAAATATTCAGGTTCAATACTGTATTAAAAAGTTACGTTATTGTGTGTCCTAAGTTTATTTTTTGACAGTTAATTTTAAATGACATTTTCATTTTACTTTATGTATAGTAATAAGGAGTGATCAGAAGTCACAAGTGATTTGGGACTGAGTGTTTAGATGAAGGTTAACAGTTTGTAAGTACCAGAAGCAGGAGGAGATGCATTTTAAGTTTTATTCATCAGTGGAATTTGTTTTTAAGGAGGAAAACATTACAAAGCTAGTTAATTGTATCGATTGTGGTTTAATCAAGTGACTTTAAATAAATCTCCCTATCTGAATATATAGTTTCAAATAGAATCAGACTTGAAAAATAAATACTCATCCTGCATAATAAGATAGGAATATATACTTATTTTGGTTTAAAGATTGTTATCTGTACATTTTGGTTAAAATTTCATACGTACTTTCAGACCACAGACATCATTTTCCTGTGCCCTTTGTACCTTCAGACGTGGTAATTTATGACACTCATCTTTCGGCGGTGGTTGTTGTTAGGGTACCTAGTGGTTAGTAGAAACAGCTCCAATATACACTGCATTTTTTAATGACATTGGGAAGAAGAGTGTCCACACACGCGTGCGTGCACACACACACACATACACACACACTTTTCCTGGAATACTAATCTCTAACTTGAAATATCATATGGAAAACCTAGTTAGCTGAATTTCAGCAGTTGAAATGAAGCTAACTTAACTTGAAGATGGTATGTTATTTTTGTGTGGGTCATAGGCGAGGAAGTAGTAGCCTTAGTTTTTATATTCTTCTTGAACTGGATAACAGGATGGGGAAAACTGCAAGAGTGTTTGGGGGCTGAGAAACTTCTCTCTTATTGTCCTTTTCCTGGGTCTCTAGTTGCATGTAAAAAGAAGCACCAGTGGGAAATGTGAAGAATGATGAAACTCCAGACTTGATCAACCTTGGAGCCAGTGACTGACGGCCATGTTCTGCTGGACGCTGGGAAGTCCCAGAGGCCTAGGGTGTCATCTTGGCTCTCTAGGAATTTCACAGTTACTGGTTAGGAATGGGGAGGCTGGAGATGTATAACTCCTGTCTGTGGTTTGAGGGATCTCAAAATTATTGAACTTTTGCCAAATGACAATTGAGAAAAATAAAAAAAACTTATTCTTTGATTTAATTTCATTTGGAAAAAAATACATATGTATTAGCAGTCACATCCTATTGGATAAAACAGTTCCTTGGGGAAAACTGTAGTTGAGTTCAACCTATGTACTGTCACAATTTTTTGCTTATAAACTCGGGTAGCTTTGTGTGTGTGTGTGTTTTCCCCTTATATTAGAAAATGTAAATACCTATTTAATTTTTAAATCTGTGGCTAGTAGGTATTTGTCAAAAGCAAGCCCTCTTAATTTAAATGCTCCTGTGATAGATAAGTGAGCAGAAATTAAAAAAAAAATACTCTGTGTGAAGATCGTATTATTGATGTTCTCATGAAAATGCTGCTACGATTGCAGGTCCTTTTGGAGTAAATCACGGGATTGAGCTTCATTCAGATGTGGTGGAGTATGCCAAGGAAAAACTGGAGAGCTTCATCAAAAATAGTGATAGCTTTGATAAGTAAGTATTCTTATCTGCAGTTTCAGTTTGAAAGCATTTAGTAAGTAGGTATTAGTAACATGTCTGTTCTTGAACATGCTAGCTTATGATTAATCTCAAAATGATCAATTGAATACTACCCAACAAATCAGTGCATTATAAAATCAATGGGAGAAAAAATTCGATTATGTTCTGCTATAGTTTTTACCCTGTGTAATTCAACAGTTAATTATCAATGACCTGTAGTAGTTTTTATACTGCTGTCACTCTGTTAATGTTTCAAGATACTTTATACACATATATTCTTTTTTGAGATATAGAGATAGTCATAATTATTGTTTTGGAACTATGGATAGTAAGTTAATAAACCTATTCCCTCTATTTATAACATTAAGGGCGGGATCTGTTAGTATACAAATATTTTAAAATACTCTATTTCTTTGTAATTCCTTCAGAAGAACTGATTGTAGAAGTACAAGGTTATCTTGTAATTGGAGCACAGTTAAAAGTTTTTTTAGCAAGAGGTTGCCTAGAACTCAGTACACTTTCTTCTTAGGGAAAGTACCATAAAGGCTTTGGACCTTGGGCTGGCAAGTAAAGTGCTTGCTGTGTAATCTCGCTCAACTTCCGTGCTGATAACCCTAAGGGTTCTCATGCCTGAGTCCCTCCTGTAGTTTGTCTCACTTCTCTTGTATAACATCTGCTTTTAAAGAGAAAATGTCATAAAAGGGCTACAGAACACAAACTTGGGACACACTCAGAGTTCCAGCTAGGCATTTTTGAAGTGTGACCTCGGCCATCTTCAACCTCTGGCCATAATTGTCCAGGTGAAAAGCTTGGGAAATCTGGGCCCAAACTGAAGGCTCCTCTCTGTAGAGAGCAGGCTTGGAATTCAGTGCTAGGAGAGAAGTCAGAAAGACTACCCTTCTCCCCTGCCATTGCCAGTTGCACTTGGTTGGTTAAAGAATAGAAAGCTGGCACGCTGTAGCAAAGTCCTCAGTGTGGAGAGGAGGGCAAGGTGGTGTATGTGATGGGGTTCATAGAAACCTCGTGGGGGAGCTGGGAAATGCTTAGAGTTGTTCTGTCATTAGTGCATGTGTGCAGGTTAATTGAATTTCCTGCATCAGTTTGTTCATCACCATCCTTGTATGCTTGTCTTCATAATCAATGCTTAGTTTACATTGTGAATCATTTTTTTTAGTGTTTTCTGTGTTGATTCGTATTCTGTCTCTATGAAAAACATTTGACAGAAATAAGTTTCCAGCCTAAGATACATTTGGTAGGAAGTTGAGCTTCTATTTTAAGATCTTTATTGTTTTGTAAGGTTAACATCGTGGTGATTGCTTAAGATGTGAATGTGATTTTTTTTGTTTTTAAAGATTGATTTTTATTACAAAGTCAGGTATACAAAGAGGAGGAGAGACAGAGAGGAAGATCTTCCCTCTGATGATTCACTCCCCAAGTGAGCGCAACAGCTGGTACTGTGCCAATCCGAAGCCGGGAACCAGGAACTTCCTGGTGCAGGGTCCCAAGGCTTTGGGCCGTCCTCAACTGCTTTCTCAGACCACAAGCAGGGAGCTGGATGGGAAGTGGAGCTGGTGGTATTAGAACCAGCTCCCATATGGGATCCCAGCTGCTTCAAGGCGAGGTCTTTAGCTGCTAGGCCACCATGCTGGGCCCATGTGAATTTGTTTTAATTATTAAAATATCAGAGCTTATTCTGTTTCTTGAAATTTAGTAAGTATAGATGTTCTTTGAATTAATTAGTGAGGTTGTATCACCTGATAAGCCCAGCATAAGTTGATACTGCTGAGGGGAAAATGCATTGAATACACCTAGCCTACTGAATTTCCTAGCCTGACACCCAAGCGCACTAGGAAATGCCATTTGTTTCCCCAACATGATCACCCAGCTGCCTGTGTGCCACAGCTACAGCCCTGTCGCTGCCCGGCCTCTTGAGAGTATCAATCATATGTCACACTGCTAGCCTAGCAGATTGAGATTCAGAAATTAAATTTGGTTGTTATAGCATACAACTTTCTCACTGTTGTAGTATTAAAAAATTAAGTTTGAACCATCTTAAGTGAGGACTGTGTGTTTTGATGTTGAAGCTTAATGTATGCATGAGGACCAGTAATACTAGTAAGGGCACCTGTTTAAAGAATTAGTTGTAAATGCATTCCATCTGTTAATGCATGAGGACGGATAATTCAATTTCAGTTCTTACAACTGACATGCCGTACTGAAGGAAGAGAGTGTCTCAGTTTTTAAAAAATTTTCTACCATTATCTTCATGTAATTATGAAATCAGATTTTCTTTGGTTGTATTTCTTGATTTTTATGTTATAATTACTGCTTTATACAAGCTTGATATTCATAAAATGATGAGTCATAAGGTACAATTATAAAACTGATCTAAATGTTTTTGGAATGTTCAATGGTCTTGTTATTTTTGTTATATTCATTGAGCTTTACCAATAGTTTGAGATGGATTCTCACAGTAATTAACACTGAAGAAGACAGCCATGTAGACTGTTGTTCTCACTTTTGAAAGCAGTATTTTGAAGTATTACTTCTAGGTGTTTTGGGTTATAGAAGTAGTTTATTTTCAAAAAGCAGTAGATACAAGGAAAAAATACTTCATTTTTTGGTAAAAGAGTGGTTGGAAGTTTAGTAGTTTTACCTGATTCAATGAGCTGCTTTTGTTGTTCCTGTTACATTACTTGCTTTGGTTGAAACAATTTCATGATCATATTTTTCCTTCATGAAAACTTCTTTCCAATTTTTGTTGAAATTTGGAATAGCATTTCTCCTTATTTCAAACTTCAAAAAGTAAAAATATTATGTGTAAAACAGTTTTAAAATTCCATTTCTAAATGTCTTTATGTTGTAAATGGCTCAGAAAGATATTTTAATTAGCAAAACATAAAGAAAAATTATTTGATATTTGTGTTTCTTACTAGAGTCTTCCTGAAAGCTAAAATATCTCATCTCCCAGTCCTATTTGTTTGTTTGAATCTTTTTTTCCCCAGTCCTCCCAAAAGTCTTATGTTACTTATGAATTGAAGCACAATTTTAACATTTTCTTAGATACTTGTATAGTGAGTCATAGTGAATTCCCAAATGTAGTAATTGGTAGGTGGGGTAGAGTCTATGAACTAACCAACATTAGAATATGTAGTGTGAAATAAAATGGCCTTTTGAAAAGAACACACATTTTTGTATGTGTGTTAAGTTTGGTTCCTGTGTCCTGTAAATAGTATTCCTTCAGAAACAGTTATTCTTATCACCTTGTAATGTTTGTAGTTTTAAGGTTTTTGTGTTTTAGCACTGTATCAGCAAATGGAATAATTTACAGAAGCTATTCTGAATTTTCTATACGTGGAGATGGGAAGGAAGGGAGAGCGTTCTTTGGTTGCTTTTCTTGGGTATCTATGGTACACCTAAATGTACTGAAGTTCTCTTGTAAAACTGATCATTTCAGAGGTTTTCTAAAATATTGGCATACTTTTCCTACAAAGAGTCAAATAACAAATCATTTAGAGTTCCTGGGCTCAGTCATCTTTCTTGAAACCATTGTATTCCACCTGTGTTGTGGCAAAAGCAGTCTCAGATGCTGTGAACAGAAACAGACGTGGAAATGTTTCAGTAATGCTTGACTTACAAGGACACATTATAAGCAGCTCTTATGTCTACATACACACTCTCTGAAATATTAAAGATTTTATTTTATTTTCATTACAAAGTCAGATATACAGAGAGGAGGAGGAGAGACAGAGAGGAAGATCTTCTGCTCGATGAGCCACTCCCCAGTGAATGCAGCTCCCGGTGCTGTGCCGATCCGAAGCCAGGAGCCAGGAGCCAGGAGCTCTTCCAGGTTTCCCAGGGAGCTAGGTGGGAAGTGAGCTGCCGGGATTAGAACCGGTGATCATATGGGATCCTGGCGCGTTCAAGGCGAGGACTTTAGCTGCTAGGCCATGACACCAGGCCCTGAAATATCACTTTTAAAAATAAAAATTCATTATCACTCTGATCTAGATAAATCTGGGTCTTGCATTTGCTTATCATGTTTTTTTTCAAAATCCATATTTTCGATGGGTTTGCCTATAGTTTAAAGCATGTCTTACTCCTATGAGATGAGAAGGTTTAGGGAAGTTAAATGATCAATATCTGCACATATACAGTATAAATCTTATCAACCGTAGTTACTTGGAAGACTATATTAGATAAAGGAGCCCAAATTATAAACTTTTGTAAATACTTTGCAAATGCTCTGTTAGCATAACATGTATTTAGAGCTGTGCATGTTTATATGTATATGTGGTGATTGCGATGCCATGAATGTGTGCCTTGAAGAGCAGCATGTCCTTGCAAGGTGGCAGTAGGTCCTTCGGTCTAGTAGCTTCTTCCCTTCAAAGGAAAAACAGCTGTGTTTGGGGTCATGCTTCAGTACCAGTAGGCAGTAGGCAAATAAATGCAGTAGAATTATAAATTGGGAAATTTTATTCTATATGAATGGAATACCACTACTTCTATAATAGTTTTCCACAAAATAACTAATAATAGAAGTAATGAAAACAGTAGTGAGATGATTAAGAAGTGCCTAATATGCAGTGTCTGCTCTGAGTCTCATCAGTCTTTCTAAATACTTTGTTTTGTCTTAGTTTCTGGAGTCAATGCTGGTGTTCCTAATTCCCAGATGGGGAGAGTGAAAGACAGGCTGTGACCTGAGCCGGCAAGTCATCTTACTGCTTGCCTGCTCTGATAATATGAACATCGCTTTAGTCTAGTAGTCTAGTATTTCTTTCCACTCACTACCCAGGAATTGCAGCCCAGCACATTAGCCCCCAAATATGAATATTGAAGCAACGTTTTTACTTTCATTATTCATTTTCTTCAGATCCGACTTAAGGAATTGTGCTGGTGTGCTTAGATGCATTATAATATTTACATTAAAAAGCATACCTACTCTTCACTAATGAAATTTACTGAAAGCATGCATTTTTTTTTTTTTTTGATTA